GACTCAGCGATTCAGTTGATATCTTAATATCAACTATTTTCATAGTAATTGTAAATTTGAAGTAGCCACAATGTCCTTGGGTAGTGAAATGGACAGGAGAAGGTGGGATATCCAGACAATGGATTAAAAAGGTAGTGGGTGAATGATTACAACACCTGTAAGGAGCAATATGTAAACGGACAGGCAGGAGCCTGGCTGGAAGGAGATTAGGAAAGTGAACATAGGCCCGTTACCCGACTACTAGAGATAAGAATGAAGGAGTGTGTATGTGCGTGCGTGCATGCGTGCGTGTGTGAGTGTGTGTGTGTGTGTGTGTGTGTGGCAGAGTGTGATAAACAAGGTATTTAAGGACCAACTCAGGCTTGAGAAGCAGGGCCCGCCATGACTGTGTGAATTCTCCTCCTGAGAAGCCAGTCCACTAAGCTGAGAGCAGCCCAATTGGGTAGCAGACATCAAAGACTGGAGACCTCGATGACTTGTTGCTTGTATCTTGAGGAATCTTGAGAAGTCTTCAGCCGTGGCCCTGTGCCGGACAGGTACCTGGGTTGCGAGTCTAGGGGCTATGGTCCCTGGGACTTTTCTGCTTGTTTGTGTTGCTCTGATATAAGTGTGAAGTAAAATACATACTCAAAACCAACTCACTGAGTCTGTCATCATTCCTCTCGGGTTAAAACCCGGTAAGTGCTCGTGACAATACCACACTTGGCTAATCTCAGAAACACTTTCAGAAGATAATACAAAACAAATGGAATAAGGCAAAACTCCATTTATTTAATGTTCAAAAATAAGCAAAACTAATCTATGATGCTTGGAGTTAGAAGAGCTATCCACTCGGGGTGGGCTTAGTGAAGTTTCTGCCTCAGGAGTTTGGGACAGTCTCATTTTCCATGGATTGTTGGTTACACGAGTGTAGGGGCCCATAAAATGGGTCTGCTTCATCTTGCCTCAAGGTCAGAGAGTTCAAAACTGTCCTTAAGTAAGTCTAAAGACCTAAAGGTCTAAGGCTTGGCTACTGCAGGATGTTTCGACCTTGGTAGCAGATGTCTTATTTAAATAACCAGACTTGGGCTCAGAAAGACAGACAACAGGTGTGACTACCAAATTAAGGGAAGTAAATCTGTTTGCTCCTTATACATGATAACAGAAGTCTTTGGTCATGTCCCCCTTTTGGTTGGGTACTTAAGAAAGTGGAACAATAAACTAGGGGTATTCAGTATTGACTGGATCGCCCTCCTGACTCTGTCCTGTGTCTCTGCCTTTCTCTCAACATCTTTACCTGCCCTGTTTCACCCTCCCTCAGATATGAACCGGGCAAGGGGGCTGGTTCCAAATGCAGCCCCACGAAGACAGCTTCACACACGAGCATGTTTATTTTCTACAAGCCATTACAATTTGTTTCTACGAATTGAGTACATTTTCTTCAACGTGCACCAATAAAACATTTTCTGGGAAACAATGTCCATATACTTTATTGTGTGTGTGTGTGTGTGTGTGTACTGAAGTTTTGAACATTCAATCAATTATTTAAAGGACGGAGTATGGGGGAGAAAGCAGATAATAAAGACTGAAGAAGTAAGTGCTTGGATACTTGGAATTACTTTAGGTAGTGGAAAAAAGATAAGAGATATTTGTAAGCCTGGCTGCAGAGTCTAAATTTCTATGGCTTTTTTTGTCAGTAAATCTTCATTTGTGGTGAAATCAGGGTGGAAGGGTAAATGGTATTTGATAGCGGACAGGGGAGAAAATGACTTTGAAAGTATAATCCAATTGTGTGTGTGTGTGTGAGAGAGAGTATATGTGTGATTGTGTATGTGAGTGTGTGTGTAAGTGTGTGTGTGTATGAGTGTGTGTATGAGTATGTGAGTGTGTGTGTGAGTATATGTGTGATTGTGTATGTGAGTGTGTGTATGTGTGTGATGTGTGAGAGTGTGTGAGAGTGTGTGAGTGTGTATATGTGAGTGTGTGCGAGTGTGAGTGTGTGTGTGTGTTAACATCTTCAGGTTAACACGGAAAGTTTGGATTCTGCACGAGTGGAATGGAAGGCTTTAACATATATAATGCTGTTCCTTTGCTGAGACGTAAGTCTCAGTCGAGCAGGGCTGTGAGATAGCTGTGGAGTTCTGGCGCTTAGCGACTGAAGCCATCACACTGCTGTCATCTGTCTCCAAGCAGAGTAGTCGTGGAGGTCTGACGGGGGTGAGGGTTGCAACCCAGTGTTAGAGAACTTGCCTAGCAAGCTCATGGCTCTGCATTCTGTCTTCAGTGTGCAAAAAAGAAAGTTCTAATGATGTACCCTACTTTTAAATGGTTTAAGTTACATGACTCTACCATTTTCTTTCTCATCACATACTACGGTCCACTGTTCAGCAGAAAATTATGGATCCCTTTCAACATGGCAGGTGTCATTCCAGATTGGATGATAAAAGAGAGAACCAGTGCACAAATACTGGATACATTTCATTGTTACAAGATTAATTTTTAATAGATGAAAATGTAAGTATGAAAGGAATATGAATCAGGGATGAACTTGAGTTTTTCTCCAATGTGATTACGATGACACTACGATTTCTGAAAATAATAAAAATCATGGAAAAGCAGCCTTATAGGGTGGAAGGACTAGGGATTGTCCAATTTTGGACTCGCTTGCTAGGCTGAAATGCTTTTTAGACATCCAAGCAGGTGCACATCTGACCCTCTCATTAAGGCATACAACTTAGTATGTCTTAAAATCCTAGGACTGGGTACAGTTGTCGTCAGGCATACGTGAACAGAGCCAAGGACCGAGACAGCACCCACAATCACACCAAAGTACAGAGATACCAAAGGCTAGAAAAAAATGCAAAGGGAATCCAGGAGAGACCAGCGAGAGTAAGTCCCGGAGGAAGAATGGTTCCTTCCTTGGGGACTGGATGGGATGTATCCGTTAGAGGTCTGAAGAGAGGAGAGTTGAATAGTTAAGGGACTGGAAGAGCGAGCTAAGGAGAGCTGAATGGCTTAAGGGCACACTGGAGGCCATTATTATATACTAGATAGCACGGCCACATAGGTCCATGTCCCCTCCCCCAGCACCTCAGTTTGGGTCTGCTGCTGCAGTGCAGGAGAGAGTAATGCAGAAATGGGTTTCTCAGACAATGTGGAGGGAGAGAAGAGGTGGTCTATGGGAACCCTAAGCAGGGAAAAGGGACTAAAGCCAGGGAAGGGAGAGGGCAGAGATGAAAGGCTTCGAGGAGAGTCCCATGACGATATTTGAAGACCGTGGTGGCCCATGCTGTGACAGTGGAGGGCTGGTGGGCAGGCAGGCAGCCTGGCCTGGGCTAACATTAGGCATTGCAGTATGTAGGACAAATGCCCCCTGTAGGCTCAGGAGTGTGAGCTTGATTGAGGTCCCGACCTGGGCAGGTTGGAGAATTTTTGAAAGAGGGGCTTAGCTAAGGGTTGCTGGGGGGAATGGCCGTGAGGTTTATACCCAGCCCCTCCCCCAGATTCTGATGCCCTTGCCGGTCTTCCTGATCCACTCAGGGGTGAGTAAGCCCCCTCCCCCCCAAAACCAACAGCTGCTTCCCTGCTAGGGTGGACTGCGAGCCCTTAAACCGCAAGCCAGAACAAGTCTTCTCTCCCTTAAGTTACCTTGGCCAGGTGATTGATCACACGGGGAGGAGCTGAGGCAAATCCACGATGCATTAGTGCTGCTTGTGGGGTTCAGAGCCCATGTTCATTAGAAAGGCCCGATGATCTCTGGAAGCACACGGTGCTGCAGTAAACAGGGATCAGCCCTCATGAGGGATCCGTAGTGTGGGGACTGGAGAGTGAGCAGTCAAGGCTTGGCCTCTGCTCTCCCTCACCAAGGCAGACACGCCTCCCAGATGCCAAGCACTTAGCGGTGGCCACCGACAGAGAAGAGGCCTTTTCTGGATGTGAAAGCTGAAGAAGACCACCCCCCCACACGTAGCAGGGACTCCCTCCTGGACCCTGAATCCGCTACAAACCACACCCAGACACCTGCTTTCACAGAGAGACCCTTTACTAAATGGGGAAGAAATGTTAAAGCGGTTGCTTTCTGACTTGGGCAGAAAAACAGCAGCAAACGACCTTGCAGGTGTCACTTTAAGAGGAGAAGGGGAGGTCTGTGTTAGAATGGGCTAGGGTGCAGGGGTAGAGGAGATAGGGGATGAGGAAGATGAAGGGGACAAGGGGAAGGAGGAAGGGGGAAGGGAATGGAGAAAGGGGGAAAGGGGAGGGGAGAGGGAGGGGGAGGAGATGGGGGAGGGGTATTTGTCCTAGAGAGACAAAGGACTGCCTTTGGGAGGGGAGACAGACATGGAAATGGCGGGCCATGAAGAACCAAGGGGAAACCCCATGTTAAGATGAGGCGTTTAATTTAAACAGGATGTGTTAATTAGAGCCAAAGGCAGGTTTTGGTTGCTCGACTTTGATAGCTGGACCTTGGTAGTCAGCCTGAGGAGGAGGCAGTGGTCAAATAAGGAAATAGATCTTGGTGGCTGGCATTAGGAATGTAGTCTAATGGTTCTTAGCAAGGCAGAGGGAAGGAGGGAGCGGGAGAGAAAGGCACGGCCTGCCAGAGCCTCATGCTCTGGGCTAGTGTCATGTCCAGTGCCAGAGGCTGGGGAGTGAGAGAAAGGAGTGTCTAAAAAGAAAATCCTCCATCATTATTTCACACACCCCATTCTAGATCCTAGATTGGGCAGAAGACTCCTTAGCTGAAAGCAGATGTGTGTGTGTGTGTGTGTGTGTGTGTGTGTGTGTGTGTGTGTGTGTGTGTGTGTGGTTACTGGCAGGAATGGCCATCAGGAAGGAGAAGGCTGCCTTTTCTGCAGCTGGCTGTGAATAGGGTGGGGCTTTGAAAGTCCCTTCCCTGTGTATTTGACAAACAGGGTTTATTGGCAAATGCTACCTTCCGGGCTGCCTTGCTGGTCTAGGGGGCCCACTGCAAAGGGACGCACCTGCTGCTTCCGCCTCACCAAGAGCTACATGGAGAGCAATAGCCTGCTCACCCACAAGCCGTGGAGTAGTTACAGACATCAGGAAAGCTCGGGAGTTCCAGAGGCAGCTGCTACAGCAGCCTGATGGGAAGGGAGGGGAAAGGAAAACGTAGCCCAAAATAGAAAAGTGTGCTTTAAGTGGATAATGGCTGAGCAGATCCCTGCTGTCCGAAGCTGCTTCTCTCCAGAGCCACCTTTTAGCGATTTGATTTCACCGCTAAACTGTTTGCCCGTAAGATAAGTGCTCAATTAAGGCAAGTGGGGAGTGGCATTGGAAGAGATTAATGTTTCAGGCTTTTAGATCTCATATTGGAGGGGGCGGGAAACCCAGGAATCTATTCCTTTTACCTGCCAAAAGTATGCTTCCTTTCCTTCATCTAATTGCTGCAGTCTTGAATTAGTGTCTTGACCCAGACCACTTTTCTTAAAGCTGATTAGCCTGGAGGCCAGAAGGGCAGCTTTGGAGAGCCACTGAAATGCAATCGGGGCATTTGCATGAAGAGGTGAACATGCTTTCCCTGGGGGGGGGGGGCAGAGGGAAATTTGTCTGCACACTCCTTGGCTGGCTGGAAATCTTTACTTGGCTTTTACTAGGTCTTTTTCTCTGGGGCTTTGGTGCCTCTTCTCCTGGAAGTGGGTCCTCTTTAAGGGTGGACATGAGTATAAGGGAGAGATCAGGAGCAGCAAGGTGAAGGACAGGAGCTGTTTAACAAGCCAGTGTTCATGTGGCCTTGACTGTTGCAAAGTCCACCCTGATCATCCTGGGGCGTTTGCTTGGGTAGAATTGTAAACAGAACTGTAGGCACAAAATCCCTAGCAAATGGAGGGGAGGGTGCATCTGTGTCTTTAATACTTTGGATGCTCTGACTCTCAGGCGAACTCAGTGGGTGGCAGTTCCCAAAGAAGAACTGTCTCTCCTGGTCCCATCCCTTACCCCCCCGTTTGGTTTATAGGGCCAAAAGCTAACAGAATTCAGGGAGGCAAACCCCACCCATGGTGTTTCTACAGCCCCCAGAAGGAATGAGAGTGGTGATCCCATTTTCCCGGAACTGTTAGGTGCTGAGCAGACAGCTGATTTGTTGCAGCGCAGGGCCTGGCAGAAGCTTACGAAAGGGAGCAGCCACAAGGGACCTGGGGATAAATGATTTCCTAATGGTCTGAAAGAGTCTCAGGACTCACTCAGTGCCCAGCAGAGGGTGAACTTCAGGGAGGGCAGAGAATTTACATTGTTAACTCAAGCTGAATGGTTTAAGATACTAGGGAAGGGGGTGAAGGCTCAGTTGGGGGATGCACAATGTTGGGAAATTATTTTGCAGTGAAAGTGATATCATAGACTTAGACTTGTGATCTAGGTCTCTCTCTCTCTGTCTCTCTCTGTCTCTCTGTTTCTCCCTCTCTCTCTCTCTCTCTCTCTCTCTCTCTCTCTCTCTCTCTCTCTCTCTCTCTCTCTGTGTGTGTGTGTGTGTGTGTATTATGCGTGTGTTACCTGTGCTGCCTGTGTAGGTATGTGTGACCGGCTTAACTGCTGTTTTCATGCATTCCTCAGTCGATTCCCCAATCTTTGTGGGGCAGGGTTTCTCACCGAATATGGGGTCCACACTTTAAGCTAGTCTGGCTAGCCCTTGGATCTGTCTGTCTCTGCCCTCCAGCACCAGGATTATGGAAACAAGTGACCCATATTTTCTATGGGTGATGGGGACCAGCTCAGAGTCTCATGCTCCCAAAGTATGTATTTTAACCACTGAACTGTCTCCCAGCACCCTGCTTGGATTTCTCATTGCTGAAAGAAACAGGGAGTTTAAACGCCAGTATGAAGGACAAGTGACCACAAAGTCCCACGGATAACTGCTTGGTAGGAGAGGGGAAACCTGTTTTCTTCAATGGAGTGACCCTGGGTACAACAACCACAATCCGGGCAGGCCCCGAGCCCAGGAGTGCATAGTCAAAACAAATCAGACTCCATTCTTTTCAGTGGATTTTTATAAAAATATCTTTCTTGTGTTTTTTCTTTTAAAGAGAAGGAACATGAAGGTGGGTGGATAAGGAGGGAGAGGATCTGGGAGGAGTTGGGAGATAAAAAAAGAACAAGAAACATAGTACATGAAAACCATGAATAATAAAGTAAAATTTAAAAATTACACAGGAAAACATGAATAATAATATTAATAAATAATACCATTAGACATACAGAAAGTCTGTGTCCATAGAAAAGATGAATGGTTATACAAATGGATTCCACACCTCTGCAGAGTTTATATGGTCCTAAACTTACCATGAAGCTCTAGAAAGTGCTACCCTGTATAGTTTAGTTTGGAAGGGAAATGCTTTGGTCGTGTCAAAGTGGATAGAATTTCTTCAGTGATAGAAATACATATTCTTTATCCTATTCAAGTAAGTTCATGAATATTTGCCTCTAGATGTTAGTTTATCATTTCCTGTTGTGTAACAGTTACTCTGAGATTGAAACATTCTATCCTGCAGGGCAGCTCCTTAGACAGGAAAGTAAGCAAATCAAAGTAGCTTCAGGAAGTTTCTGAAACTGACCAGACTCACTGGGCCCCTCCCTAGCCAGAGTAAGCAATCAAAGCTGTGAGCCCCTGAGTCTAGACAGAGATAAACTGCAAAGAAGACTCTGAGGAACCAGCTGAGCTGCTTCCTGGAAGGGGCTTAATCCAACTGGACAGGACACTCGCCAAACTGATGAGCTCCCGACAAGCTGCAAAGTGTTCCCAGCCTTTGTGAGCTGTCACCCATTCCGGGGTGGCCCTTGAGGATAAAGCTCTCTGTCGTTTTTTTGCTTCCATAAGTATTCCTTTACCCACTTTCCTGTAAGTAACCCCAGTGAAACTCATTGGTTCACCAAGCTAGACTTGGGTGATATCCGTACTTGTGAGTAGACATGCAGATTGTGTCTCTTCCGGAAAAGCTTTATCAACCAGCATTTCTGGAATTAGACATGAGTAAAATTTAGACATCTAATAACCAAATAGCAGTTTAGTATCCACAGTACGCAAACAGGTATGCCGAGGGGCCTGTCGAGTGTTCAGAGATAGACAGTTCCCTGGATGCATAGAGATTTGAACATGGTCCACAAAGGAGATAACTGCAAAGATGGTTCGAATTAATATGACACAGAACATGGCCGCAGGGAGAAGTGCGAGGCGAGGGAGGGTAGTTCACTGGTGGTTTAGATAATCTGGATTGGTTTCATGATGGGTTGAGGGAGGGTAGTTCATTGCTGGTTTAGATAAACTGGCTTGGCTTCAAGATTGGTGTACAATTTAACCTGATGCTATTTCAAGTTTTCCAAACTATTTTATTCCCTGTTAGAAATTCATTGCCTGTTACTGAACAGTATACACACACCCTTGGAACAATAGTTCCACAAAATAGTATTTTCTCATATTATGGATCATCTGTGTTCTTCAGTTGTCTTCAAATTGCCACTTACCTTCCGGGTTGATTTTATAGCCCACCTGATGAGTTGTCCTTTACCAACTTACCAAACACAGCCATTACCTGTGGCAAGGGAGTGTGAGCTTTGCTAATGACTCTCACCTGAAGGTTCCAGAAACCTTGCAGCAAGTGTCATTGCCATCCCCATTTCTCAGATGAGGAAACTAAGATTGAGGAGTTGGGTTACATTGTCTCCTAGGTCACATAGCTCTTAGCGTAACTAGGATTTGACCCCAGCTCAAAGCACAGGCAATGGAAAGGCCCACAAAAAGAAAACATGGGAATTGTGAAGTCTGGCTACAATGTATTGTATGTACTGTAGGAAAGTTTGGAGAGATAATAGTGAATTATTAATTGTACTGACTGGTTTTGTCTAGAGTCATCAGAGAGGAAGGAGCCTCAGTTGAGGGAATTGCCTCCATGAGATCCAGCTGCCAGGCATTTTCTCAAGTAGTGATCAGTGTGGGAGTTCCCAGTCCATGGTGGGTGGTGCCATCTCTGGGCTGGTGGTCCTGGGTTCTATAAGAAAGCAGGCTGAGCAAACCATGTGAGTAGGCCAGTGAGCAGCTCCCTCCATAGCCTCTGCATCAGCTCCCGCCTCCAGGATCCTTCCCTGCTTCAGTTCCTGCCTTGTCTCCCTTCAGTTGTAAGAGCAACGTGGAACTGTAACCAAATAAACCCTTTTCTCCCTGACTTGCTTTTTTTGGCCACTTGTTTCATCAGATGCCACAGGCCAGCCCTAGCAGGTCAGAGAAACTGGAGCGGAGTCCTTGGCCATACACGCATAGGAGACTTATCGGAGGGACCGAAACTTAATTCTTTTTCTCTCCCGTCTTTATGTTTCTCTTATCCCTTTTTTTTTTTTTTTTTTGGTTTTATGAGACAGGGTTTCTCTGTATTGTTTTGGAGGCTGTCAGTCCAGCCTGGCCTCGAACTCACAGAAATCCGCCTGCCTCTGCCTCCCGAGTGCTGGGATTAAAGGAGTGCGCCACCACCGCCCGGCTCTCTTATCCCTTTTATAACACCTAAGACAAAAAATAATCTCTACACAAGAAGGAAACCCCCTCCGAACCACAAGTTCCATATTTTCCAAAAGCAAATTTAAAAAACTTTAAACAGAAAGAAATCACATTCTGATCACAAGTTACACGCTTGTCTTAGAAACCCACAAGTAGTTAAACATTTTTCTTTGTATCAATGTTCCTGTCATCACATCTTCACCCCAAAGCAACGATTCTTTTATTATTGATGAGCAAAGGCTCCAAGCAAGCCAAGTATATTTCAGCCAGTTTCTTTGTACTGGCGGGCAGCTGTTTGCAGTTTCAGTGTAGCAGATTCCTACCCTATTTCTATTCTACAAAACTGGACTCAAGCCACCTGTTTTTCTTTTTTCTCTTTACACCTAATAGGGTCGTCTAATTTCCTTTCGCAACTTTGTTGTTTTTCTCTCAAAGTGCACTCGGAAACCTGTGATTGATTCTGTAAGCTACCGGACCAAGGAGAACTCAGACCTAGCCTTGGGTGTAGGGACATACTTGCTTTCTTGATCATCAGGCTGTTTTTTTTTTTTTTATTCACAGCCAGTGGAGTACTCACTCCATTCTCTCGTTGCCGTTGCCAACTCTGGACCCTAGGCAAGTGTGGTGGCTGTGTGGTCATGGCGTAAAGTGTTCTGTGGGTTGGCATGTGACACAAAGAAATGGAAACGGGCTGGGAGGAAAAAACTGAGGTGCAGTGGGAAGGGACTGGGGTGGGGGGCAGGGACCCACCAGGGGATGGAGGAGTGGGTGGTGGGAGGGGCTTCTGCAGGAAGGTTCCTGTAGGCCTGAAAGGCTCATTACTAACTTTCAGAAATTCCTACCAGTGAACAGAATGGTTCTCAGAAAACAGAGTCTGAAGTAGCAGATCATCAGGCACAGCCATCCCCATGCAAGGAGTCTGACACACCCATCCAGTCCCGTCTGGCTACTGGAGAGGATTTTTAATTTTAAATTGTCATTGCAATATATTAAGATACAGAAAAATCACCTAAGTAAACTTGTTCTTTGTGTTTAATTTCTTATTTCAACGTCCTTCTGGAAGGTCCCCTTGAACTCCTTGGTTATCCCATCCTTGACTTGTGTTTATATCAAGGGATTCAGCTCAACTCACAGCTAACTCTTGAAAATACCGCTACTTTCATGTCTAGGGGAGCAGGAGAATCATATAACAAGACACCAGCCCTGGCAATTAAAGCAGCAACTTGGTTATGAATTAGTGTGTGTGTGTGTGTGTGTGTGTGTGTGTGTGTGTGAGAGAGAGAGAGAGAGAGAGAGAGAGAGAGAGAGAGAAGTAATTAGCCACATGCTATATATTCTGTGTGGATCTAGCTATGAAAAAGCTCCTAAAATGTTCCTTCCTGGCACACAGTCAATTATTATTATCCACATCAGTTAGTGATGGTTTATAATGCTGGTTGGGGTGGACAATGAAATAACAGCTACTACGTCTTTCTTCCTTAGGGAAACACAGCCTTGGATTCCCATGAGCCTCTGCTTCCATAACAAACTTGTCAACTGATCAACGCCTAACCTTTCCCACTGGTGCTTCTGTTGAAGAGCTCTTTATTGAGTACTCACTGCCGACACCCCCACTAGTAGCTCATGCTACAGCGTGCACACTTTAATTCTGTGAGGAAGAGATTCTGCTCTTGGTGCTGACATCACGGGTTCACCATCTAAAAGAGACAACAACAGACCTCCAGGAAACAGCTGTGAGGATTTAACGTTGGGATATAAAAATAAAATGAACAAATACTGGGGAAAAAAGGTACACATTTGTGTAGCGCTGGTTAGCACTTATTTATGTAGCACCTGTTAGGAGAGAACTCCTCACACAGACTAGGTAACTCAAGCATCATGAAGTGAAAATGTTTCAGTCCCACAATTTCTTCCATTTATGGCAAAGACAAATCTTGTCGTCAGAATATGAGCAATAGCCCAGAAGGTGTATCTCAAATCAATATTGTAATTATTGGGGTTCACCTAACCCCCATACTTGAAATATTCTGAGTATTTGGGTTCTGTCTGGGAGTGACTGTCTCCTACACTCTTTCTGGTCTCCCTGGTGACCTTCTTCAGCCGCAGCCACCACCTCCTATCTCCAGGCCTGGAGAGCACGAGAACTCATTCTCAGCAGCCCCTGTGTCTCCAGGAGCTCCCGTGTGATCCCAAGGCACCAAGTGTTTCCCACACCTCTACAATTCCACTCATACCTTTGCCACTTCCTGAGAGACAAATCCGTGCTTCCAACGACCAGCTGGCACCTTCCTATTGGCACTGCAATCTCAGCGAGTTCAAGGAAACTTTGGGTGTCCATTCTTGTCTGCTCTATACCGGTGACATTCGTCTTAGTAACTAACACAAGCTTTTGTCCAAACCCCAAACCCAAGACTTATCCTGGCTGCTGTAAAAAAAAACAAAAACAATCTAACCTTCCATGTCCAACCTAGAAAAATGGCTTTGCTGTGTCCCAGGTTCTAGTCTCTGCTTAGCCACGCGGCGTCCTTCTCCACAGACACACATCATCTCCTCTGTTTTCTTTTGAAGGGACGGGGGGGGGGGGAGGGGAGGGGGGACCGGGGCTCAAACTCACGTGAAGCACACAGTCCACCACTGAACTATGCACAGGCTCCACAGCCCACACCTCACCTGCTGCCTGGTGTCATCCACACACTACCCAGTCAAAACACAGGACGGGAAGGTCACATCCCTCTCCTACACACCCGCCTTATATGAAACGAAATCTGATTTTTTTTTTTTTTACCGTGACCTGGAAAGCCTGTGTGGCCTGACCTTCATCACGTCTCCATCATTCTCCTCACCGTGGTCTCAGTACTGTATCAGCCTCAGTGAATTTCTTTTATTGTTGTCTTAATCACTGCTATTATTCTTTTTTTAAAAATTCTTTCTTTGTTGTTACTTTAATTTTTTCATTTTTATTTTTAAATTTAAATTTAAATTAGAAACAAAGTTGCTTCACATGTCAATTCCAGGTCCCTCTCCCTTTCCCTCCCCTCCTCCCGTGCCCTCTCACCAGCGCCCCCCAATATCCCCTCATTTCCCCAGGGAGGGTGAGGCCCTCCATGGGGGTGTCCATAGTCTGTCATTTCATCCAGGGCAGGGCCTAGACCCTCCCCCAAGAGTTCAGGGTGAGACAGCATCTCTCATTGTTGGATGGGAGCCCAAAGTCCATTTGTATACCTGGGATAAATACTGATCTACTACCCAAGGCTCAATAGATTACCTAGGCCTCCTCACTGACACCCACATTCAGGGTCTTGATCAGTCCCATGCTGGATTCCCAAGCATCAGTCTGGGATTCAAGAGTTAACCTTTGTCAGGTCAGCTGTTTCTGGGGGTCAAACCAGCCCAGTCTTAACCCCTTTGCTCATCAGTCCTCCCTCTCTGTCACTGGATTCCTTGAGGTCAGCTCAGTGTTTAGCTGTGGGAGTCTGCCTCTGCTTCCATCAGCCATTGAATAAAATAATGGTTTTCATCCTGACATTTTTGCACGTACTTCTGGTTTTTGCTTGTCCTCTCCCAGCAAGTCATCCTGCCCACCTGCTGGCCCTCTTTCCTACCTGCTGGTGTTTTGGCTGCTTCACATTGAATTTCTTGATGTTCTTCAAATACATGGATTTATTCGTCAATATTTGCATGTCCTTTGTACGGACACTGAATTTTCCCATGACTTGCCATCGTATCATTTAGAAATATTTTCAAATTTCTTTTCTTCTTCTATGAGACTGCCTGAGCAGCCCATTTGAGATCCTCCAACCCTGCCATTTTCTGTTTTGTTTCTGTATGTGTTGATATTTCCCAGTGTCCTTGATGTGTCTGAAGCAACACAACATCAGTGCCCCGACTCCTGCCCCTGGGATGTGCATCTGGAACATGGTTTGTGCTTCGTTCTGCATGAGTCCCCAGATTTTCAAAGTCCCCGGCCTGTGGTAGGCACTTTGTGATCGCAAGCAAAATGAGAGAATGCTCATTGTACTGGACATATCCGGTACCCACAGGCCAGCCCTTGAGCAGAGGGACTGATGAATGCGGCCAAAGCATTTATGAGAGAGGAAACGTGAGGGGTTCTACCAACACAAAGGTCAGTATCATTAGTAGTTACATAGATGCGTATTTAAATACTGAGATAACATTTCAGCTCCTGATGGGTACCAATTAAAATTATTGGTGATAGTCACTTCTGAAGGGGATGTGTGAGAAGGGTCATTATTTTACACCCTTGGAGAAAGTTTAAATTGCCACTTAAGTAATCTGGTAATAAATATTAATGGGGAAAAATGTAGACTCCTGGCAATATTCTTAGATGGATTCTGTAATATAGATATAAAACCACACAGGATATAACCTTTGTGCAGATTTTGTTTATAATATTAAAAAGAGAAATTCTTAGGTCCTTCAATACTTAAAAAATGAATGTTTATGACGTGTGCACTTAATAAAGCACCACACAGCTTCCAAACAGAATAAAGTAAATTTGTGCATGTTAATATCATGGGGGGTTCGGTTTCCTTGGTGTTGAAAACTAAAAGTTAAAGAACAGTGAGCAGAGTGTATTCGTTTTTCATAAACACAGACATCTCTATTTGTGTGTTTGTGTCTTCCCAAATGAGAAGAGGACTTGAGTCCGACAACCTCAGGCCCACAGTCTTATCTCTGGGTAGTAAAGAGGGGAGGGGAAGGCGTGAGCATCATCTCTGTGCAATTGCATGTTCACATGGGATATACAACATAAGCATGATTTAGCAATTGGTTCAAAGCAAAAATATGCCCTTTATGAAGTTTAACGTTTCTTTCCAGTAAAGTATAACAAGCACTGAAGCCAACAAAGCACGGGTTCTCTTTTGCTTATGTGGAAGCGTACATGAAGCAAACGTATAAAGAATATTTCACATTTGAAAGTAAATCAGAATTAGGATAACAGCAACGAAAAACCTTGATAAAGTTTCAATTCTATAGAACGATGAATTATTAAGTTAGAGAAGTAGAAAGCTTATAGTAACTTAAAAGATGAAAAACAATCATCAAAGGATGACTTCCCCCAAAGTCTATGCCTGATGATTTTGCCAGCGAGAGCTCTGAAATAGAAGAGTTCCGTAGTATAAAAACAGACAAAAGAACAGAGAGACTGTAAAGTCACTTTACACATTTCACAGAAATGGAGACCTATGTGTATGCATGCCAAATACATTCACACACACAAATATACACTATGAAAACGGAGATGCTTGCCCCTTACTGGGAAGATGAAGTGTGAAACCAGGGAACCAGAAAAGTGGAACAATATTTGGAAGAAAAAGCAGACAGGATGAGAAGGGCAGAGAAACCAGAGAAAGAAAAACAGTCCGCAAAAAAGGGACGTGTGCAGACCCAAACCACACTTTCCTCTGGAGCCTCAGGCCACTCAAACTTGGAAAAGATCCTGCCTTTCCCTGCGTAGTAATGGGCTTGGAGTTCAGAAGCAACTCTTTTAATCTCATGCTTTCAATAACACACTGGTAAATATTAAAGTGTTGTAAAATGACAGGATATAAGGAGCAATGGACAGCCAGCTCGGTATGCAGAGAGACTCTTCTCTTTTCAGGCGACTGATAGGTAGTCAAAGCTTCTGAAAAGGCGCAGGATTTAAATCATGTAGCCAGTACGTGCAGAGCAATTGCCAGTGCTGAGATGGTTGCCTGTGTCAGGAAAGAGGCAGCCAGAGAAAGAGAGCCCACTCTAGTTATTTGAAGCAGAAGTGGAGGGGGGTTTAGAGCAGAAATTGGTTCCATGTGTGATACGAGACTTGGAATGACAGATGGTTATTGCTGAGCCAAGAGATCAGGACTAGCGGGAAGCCGCCAGCACTCCATAGCCGGGGCAGCAAAAACACATAACCCTTTAAAGGAATTCTCCCATAAATTAACTGGACAGGGACTTGGGGTCCGGGTTCTGTTTTGCTTGTCTGATCTCATTGCTTGCTCTGGGGGAAGAGATGTTGAACTCCCAAGGATGGAAAATTGAAGTCCAAGGGAAGAAAGCAGCTTAATGCAGAACACATGGAAACGGGTCAGCCTCTTTCTTTTCTAAACCAAAAGCTCCTAAATATATATTACAGGAACATAATTCACTGAAATACAGCTGCAGGTTGCGGTAGGGACACATTTGGTCTCAAAGCCCATGATATAGGATACTGGACACACATATGCTCTGGTCAAGAGGTAGCATCTCAATGATAAAGGATTGCAGCAGGCATGAGGCAGCAATCCCAAATGACATAAACAGGGAGGGGCATCTGGCTGACTTCCAATTTTGTCTTGCTAATGTGGCATTCCAGAAGGTGTCTGCACTGTGTTCTGATGGAAAGAGTGACGGAGAACTACTATGTCCAAACATCTCCCAACCAAAAGTAGCCCCATAATTTGTGGGATCCAAAGCAAAATGAGAACGAGATGCTCTTGGTTTAAAAGAAAAAAATTGAGAATTTCAAGACAGTAACATTTGAACATTAACCCAAGTGGGAGATCTTTCTCAGTGGGAGACCCTGCACCGCCACACGGGGTGTACTGTACTGAAGCTTTCACTGCTTCCAAACATGAAGGAAATGGCGAGGCTTGCCCACACCCTTGGGGCAGCCTTCTGCAGCAAATTACTAGGTGACAAAAGCCAGAGAAGAGGACAAACGAAGAATGCTGAGAGAGATGAAGACTGTGCCCTGGTGTCACAGCATTGCACATATCTGCTTAGTACACAAATGCTAAATGGCGTTGGAAGTTATGGCTACAGGATATCAATGCAGATAGGAAGAATGAACTTGCTAACACATTTATCTGTCTCTGCAGGTAATTGGCTGGCACTGTCTGAAATTGCATTGTGCATTTAATCAAAGATAATGACTCCCTACTCACAATGTTTTATTCCTCAGCTCTCCTTAATTTTAGAGGGGGCCGTTGGTTGGAAAACATCTCATGAAAGGAAGAAACATGTATGTGAAGGTTAAGTGATCTCACTGATTCTACTTCTGCTTAATTTTTTCATTGACTCTAGAAAAATTATGTTCCATACTTTGTATTGAAAAGTACAGGATTCTGTTTCTGTGAGAACCCAAATGTGTTACTGATGACATCATAGGTAATGGCGTATCAGAATGTTACTTTTATCTCTGCTTCTCATACATACATTGGGCTCTTTGTAAGTGGGCTGTATAATTTTTTTCAGGGTTAGGGTTTAGGTAATGGCGTATCAGAATGTTACTTTTATCTCTGCTTCTCATACATATATTGGGCTCTTTGTAAGTGGGCTGTATAATTTTTTTCAGAAGCTGAAGTTATTTTTGTATTTTAAAAGTAGTGAACTATTATCCTATCTAAGTGTGCTAGCCCTGTATTGGTTCAGTCTGTCAAGCTTGGAGGTCCTCTGTGTCGGTCAACTGAGAACTGCCCACATTTCAGAACCAGGTGTTTCCCCATCCC